GGCTGGTTCTCCCCGAAGTGCGGCAAAACTGTGCCGCGGGGCAGAGACCGACAGTTCCGACGGCCCAAGCACCGCAGCTGGTCACGAAAATGGTGATGCCACACGGCGTTTTTGCAAAAACATTAAGCAAAAATTTTAATTAATATTTCAGCAAAAGGAGTTTGAAAACAACAGACTTCTTGAATCCTTTGATAGGAAAATATTTTCAAAGATTGGAAATGAACTGTAAAACCAGGTTCTTGTTTCTCATCTGTTTTCCAACATTTTTTTGTTTTTTTAAATTTTATTTCCACTGGGACCTTTTCTGATCTCAGTCAGTCTAGTATGCAGCCTTTGGAATTACACCAGCACGCTGAGATCGTTCTCAGGATGCAAACAATGGAAAGGGATAATTTTATTTATTGATCATTTGTATATTTATTTTTTATAAACTGATTATACCATTTGCTAGCCTGAAAAAACTAACATACATTTTCCACTCTTCTACATGTAGGTGGGAAGTCATTCCAGCCTTCGAGCTGTTTGCTGCCTCTGTGTAGCTGTGCTCAGACAAAAGCAGCAATCACTTGCCTGCCTCCTGATGGTCCCAATTACAGATGTTGCAGGTAATTGACTCAGCTGAGTCACTTTCTCTGTCTAATCCTATCCCACTGGGTTACTGTGTTAATTAAACAACTTGCACTACAGTTTTAATTAAGTAACTTGCAAATTTTACAGACCACTATACACGTTTTGTTCTACTCGATTCACCCTAGGCACAGAGCTGCTGGTGATACACACCACAGCCTAAACTTGAGCTGCTCCCACCTGCAGGATGGGAAGGTAGAAATCTGTAGGTAGAAACAACCCTCTGGGATTTTGGCCTGTGGCTGAGCTGTAGTGGGACACCAGCCCACTCCTCAGCCATGCTGATGGCTGCATGGCTGCAGGGACATGGCTCAGAGCAGGGACCACAGCCCCTCGGGTGGCCTGTGCTCCCGTGGCTGCCACGTCTTTCATCATTACAAGCACCAGGCTCCTCCTCGTGCAGACTCATTCTTAGAGCACTGAGTTGTGGAGAACCTCTAGCCCCTTAGTCCTATAAGCACTGCTACTAGCTGTAACACAGGACTAAACAAAGGAGGATTTTTTCCCTGTACTCCACTCAGTTTGTTCAGGCCAAGCCAACAGCATGAGGATTTACCCCTCGCTGCTCAGGGTTCTACGTGTCACGATGTTTAATTGATGCTCATCCATTATTTGGTGCCAGTGAGCAGGTGCCAGGTGGGGAGGGACAGCACAGGGCCCTGCCACCACCCCTGTGGTGATGTCCCTGACCAGGCAGCCCGAGCGGGGCGGCTGGGATGGCCCGCCAAGATCAGGTGCATCAGAGGAGAAATTTATGCAGGTATAAACAAAAACAAGCTTTGTGAAAGATGAGACTCCTGAGAAAGTGGGAGCTGTGCCCAGGGAGGTCTGGTTTCAACAGCAGCAGAGCAAAACCCTGTGGGGCTCTGGGGCTCTCCACCACTGCAGGGCACACGGGCGTGCCAGGCGCCAGCCCTCCTGCCTTCCCAGCTGGGACGTGGCAGCCACACACCGTGGGCATGAACAAGCCTGGGCCTTCACCAGCCCCTCGGCAGTGTGCTCCTTCCACCACTCACAACCAGGGTCACCGCAGTTTTAAACTTCGTACCATGCTTTACTCTCACACCTCACAAGAACGCCCTTCTGGAGGGATATCTATGAACGAGAGACTCTCCTCCACACCTTTACTAACCCTCTGCCAGTCCCTCCCTGTTCATGGCTCACTAGCAGCTACCAACTCAAAGCCCTGGGACCCCGAGGTTTGATTGCCACTACAGCAGTAGGGAGCAGCTGGATGTCTGTCCAAGCTGAAAATGAGAATGAGGAGAAATGGGATGCTCCTGGTTGCACATGACATGCTCTTCTCTGGGCAGCCTAGTGTTTTCTGTAAGCACAAACGTATGTGGGAGAGTATTTTGTTTAGCTCTTAAGCTTCTGTTTGACTTTTCATGTCAAAGAGGAACAAGTCCACCCCTACTGCAGTCTATGAGCACCAGCTCACCTACAAGGTCCCCATCTGACCTGTGGATGATGTGCCTGCTCTGGAGATAGTCAAGGGCCAGCACCAGCTCGCAGATGAAGAGTTTCACGGTGCCTTCTTGGAACCGCACGTTTTGTTGGAGGTGGTAACGCAGGTCCCCTCCCAGCAGCAGGTCTACAACCATAAACATGTCTTCTTCATCCTGGAATGAGTACCTAAAATGACATAAGCGTGGTTCAAGGACGATAACATTGAAAGAAGACAGATTACAAAGGGACATATGGTATCTCTGGGAATACCCATCAGTTCTGGGAAATTTTTCTCTTGGGAAATAATAATTTCATTACCTTCCCATGCTCCATTTCCCTCTGTGACTAAACTCCTAGTGTCACACTTGAGGTGGCAATAATTTAGCTTCAGATCTGTAATAGATTCAGAGCATCTTGTATGAACAGCTACCAGGAGGCACACAAGAACAGGAACCCGATGTTTTTACATCAAGCTTCTATCAGCCACTTCAAAAACAAAGCCACATCCAAACCTCCTCAAACTCACTAACGCTGCTTGCTGCTGATTGTCCCTCCCCAGGGCTAGGAAGGGAGAGGGGCAGGAGTCTGGCAGTTGGGCACAGCCCTCGGGCAGATCCCGTGTAGATGACAACCCTCTAAGGGGTCCTGGAAGATCCCTGCACTTGCCGTGCAGTCCCAGCTGGCTGAGCAATCGGTGACTCAGTGCAGCAGTGGAAATCCAGCTCTGGATAAACGCTGTCTGCTCCTCCGGGGGTTCACACTCTGCTCTTCAAGGTGGACTTTTCATCTTCTCCAGGCACCCCCAGGAATTGACCATGGGAGCAATGCAGAGAGGACCCCTTAGCCAGCACCCACAGCCCTGAGCAGACCAGCAGACTGCCCCAGAGGCTCTGATAGCTGGGCTTTGGTTCTGGCAGCAGCCTGTTAATTACCCGTTTACTCAACACAACAGGGGATGCAGCACTCTCTGCCCTTCCTCTTAAATGACCTCATCTGATGCAACTGGTTACCAAGTGCCCCTTCCAGACAGTCTAACAATCAGCCCTGAGCTTTTTTCTCTCTGATTTTTTTTTTTTTAATAATACACCAGTTTCTTGATGTGGTGAGCAGCACCACGAACCGGAGTATCACTCCACACAAAGCTTGTAGTCTGTGTGTCACCCAGAGTGTTTAGCGTTGGTAAGTTCTATCTCATTCTAAAACCAGATCCAATATCCAATAAATGTAATTACCCATTGCCCCAGGGGAATCCTGTAACTACCAGGTATTGGCCACTGCATCATGTGGTGTATGAGAACACACCACACTAAATGTTATGGGGTCCTAATGAAATCAAACTCCAGACTCTAGCAGTAATAGAACCTTATTTAAAATTCCTTTCTACTGCTCCACTGCAGGAAAACATGTTGAATCAAATGAATGGGGAAGAATTAGTATGTCTTTTATCACCAAGCTGGTCAATCCCATCACTAATGGTTGAAAAAGGACTTTAACCAGAGCACATAGGCTGCATTTATCAGGTAGTCTTAAAGGAAAGAGACTGTTTTATGTACACATTTCCCCATTAGATATATGGGTTTCTGCAATAACATTTGAATGGTATTATTTTTCTATCAGTAAATTAAATGAGAAATTATTTTTATTTCTGCTCATTAGCACCAATTCAGCCAAATATCAATACGGTATTAAGGAAGGCTGTTTAAACCACGAAATAAACAACCAAATCAGAATCAGGAGGTGATGGGAAGAAAGCAGTGCCAGGGGAACCCTGCGAGCAGAGCACTGCTTGGCTATCAACCCCATGTTGTTACTGGGTGGTCCTGGGAGCTGCTGGTTTTTGCAAAACAGCACAATTAAATAAAATGGGGTTACGGTAACGAGCAGTATCTGCCTAGGAAGAAACCACAAGGGAATACAAATTCTCCTGTGCTTGTCTTGGGGAAAAAGGAAGCTAATTCTAGTTTAATTAAACAAGGTTCCCCTGGCACCAGAGCCCCATTCAGTGGAGCGGATGAGGAGCCCCACCACAAACAAAGAGCCCCAGGACCAGTCCAGGGCTCAGCCCCGCACGCTCTCCAGAGCAGTCGTGGTCCATCGCTGCCACTCGTCCCTCAGGGAGTGCCCGGGGCACCCCCACCCCCACCAGGGACTCAGGTGCCTGGTGCCAGCTCGGCGGGCGGCGTGGCACCCGTCACGCCGCGGTGCCCACGCACCAGCTGCTCCCAAACGGCTCGCAGCAGCAAGGTGGGCAAGTCTGGCCTCAGAGATGTCTCTGACCAGCAACACTGACCTAGCCAGGAAGCAAAGGAGCGGTATCTTACCATAAGTTAACTAAAAAGGGGTGTTCCAGGCCTTGCATAATCTGCAGCTCCTTGAAAACATTTCTCACTTCATTACGCTCCACGCACTTTTGTTTGTTCATGTACTTCATGGCATACATCTTCTTGGTGTCGTTCTTCTGCACAACACAGACCTAAGCAAGCAAATCGGGGGATAAATCAGAGGTAATCTTTCAGCAGATTTAGGCAGGTAAATCATAGTCACACAAGAGTTCTCCTGGGGCTTTAGCAGAGCCCACACTGCCAAGTCACAGCTCCGTGCACCGGTGCTGCCACACGGCATCGCCAGCAGGTCTCCAGCCAGTTTTCTGCTAAGGAAGAAATTTTGCTGGGGGAAGAAGAGGGGAAGGAATTTATCACCACAAAGATGGGAGGTAGAGAATCACACACAAGTCAACATTGTATTTAACAGCACTAATCTTGGCTATGCCCAGCCCTCCCACACCCACTACTGTGTGGAAGAGTCCTTCCCACCCCAGAACCACACGTTAAAAACTGGGGAGCAGCACTTTGATCTCCCCTTTCTTGATAAGCTTCATTCAGCTCACAATGAACCTTGGGCTTTGTCTGAGGGCTATTGGGGTTTGAGTTTTAACCTTTCTTACAGGCATATTTCATCAAATCCAGAAAGAAACATTGCTTCAATGAAAGACACACGGTTTGTATGAGTGCAAAACAAAACACACTGTTTTTTCAGATTTGTTTCCACAAGAGTTTATGAATTTGGGATAAATTTACAAAGTTTCCATCAATCTCTTTCATTTTGCCACCAAATAAATCTCTTTGTCTAGAGATTTTTTTTTGCATTCTTCACTTAAGGCACACCCAATTTCTGGCATGGATGAGCTTTATGTGAAGGGGCAAATGACCTTCTAGAATTCTGTCAGTGGGTACAAGCGGGTGATTCCATAGCAGCACAAAACCAAACTGTGTGACCGTAACCTGATCCTCACACCAAACACTGGGTTTCACAGAGAAATGCCCTCTGTAAGAAACGGCCAGGCCTGGCATCTTGATTGTAGTTCTTGATGAAAGACATATCATGATGTTCAGCACTGATTTGCTGGGAAATCTTAGAAAATACTTATCCAGAACCACAATGAAATTAAGCTTGTTTGATTTATCAGTTTCTCATTTTAATCTCCTGTAATATAATTTGTGGCTATGGAACAGATGAGGAATCAGGCTCTGATTCCTTCCTGATTACCAGGAGTTGAAGCTCAGGTCAAAGCTCGTTGACAATGTAGAGGTTTATTTCTTTACTCTCATGTGAGCCTCTAATTCACCCATTTCTCAATCAGTTACATTTCCAGCTGTCCAATGGTGCTTAGGTCACAAAATACTTACTTTGCCAAAGCTGCCCTTTCCAATGGCTCGCAAAATCTCAAAATGGTCGAAGGTCACTGCAAAAAAGAACAAACATTCAAATATTAAATGGCTGAGCAAACACGTATAGGGGAAAATGAGTGGGGCATGAACCCCCTGTGCCAAGCAGAGAGGTGAGCTGCAGGAGCTGCTGCCACCCCACACAGCCCACCGCTGCAGTGAGGGGCACTCGGCCCCCCGGTGCTGGGACCCAGCACGGGGCTCTGCAGAGTGGGGCAGACACAAAATGCAGAGCTCCAGCAAGCACTGGCATAGGGAGCAGCTTCAAATCCAGAGGAGCTGACTGGCAGCCAGATTTTGCATGTTAACACTCCATCTCCATTCTCTTTCAACAGGAACGCTTCATGAACATCTTAACACCCTCTACCTCCTTGTCTTTTAATATCAATATTTTCGTTAGCATTTTAAACACAGGTCTACAACTGAGCTGGCTGTAAGGAAGCTAAATGGCATACTACTTATTTAAGACTCTCAAACTAAGCACGATCACATTTTAACCTCTCTCTCTGTTTCAGCTTTCCTAGCATCCCAAATTTCCACAGCAAGCCAATCCAGAGTCACTCCCAAAGAGTACTGAAATTTGTGGTGTCCAAATGAGGAACCATCAGCTTTTGATCCTGAATCCACATCAACAGATGTGAAAAGCCTCATTTCACCGCCTGATGGCATCTAAGACAAGGGAAAAGTCAAAGCATTTGCCCTTCAGAGAGAAAACTCATGTGATATGCCAACTCAGACAAATGATGTTTAAGAGATGCCAAGAAAGATAACACAATTGCTATAAAGATGCAACTGAAGCATCAGCATGAAATACCATTTGGAAAGCAGGGCTTGTGTTTTGAAACCCAGGTTCAAGGAACAATATTTAAATAAAAAACCACAGAACCTAACCAGCCACAAAATCATCCTTATCAGAGACAAGTCAACCCTGCTAAAACCCCTGCACTCCACCTGACGAGTGCGTCAATGCTCTGGGGGGCTCAGGTCCTCCCATCCCTGCCCCTCACCCCAGCACAGCCAGCACAACACTGCACAGTCTTCTTGTGTCCCTGTGATTTCCCCATTTTCACTATATTCCCTCTCTTCCTTCTCTCTCTGCAGGCTCAGGGGAAGAAGTGGAGCCAGAGGCAAGGGAAGTTAACCCGAGTCCCTCTGTAACAAGGGGCTGAACGGCGCAGACGTGGGCAGAGGAACAAAGACATGTCCCCACTCTGCTCAGAGCCGGAGCGACTCAGCCACGGGACAGCTGCTGGTGGGGTAGAGAGGACACCGGCAACGGCCCCGCAGTGACAGGGGCCCCTCACCAGCCACCGTCACCAGCTGCCCTGGGTTCAGCCAGGGAGGGGTTAATGCTCACAAGGGGCTGCAGCTGGGCACCCGTGCCAGCCGATGGGCTGCTGTACCCCACCTCATGCCCTCTGGGATGGGCAGGCAGACCAGCAGGGCTCTGGTAGCTGGTTAGCTTGTGGTGGGAGCGGGGAGAGCTGCTTCGCCTGGGGTAAGGGGCTCATGCTCACCTGCCTGCTATAGTGTTTCCCTGGTGTTAGCGTTGTCACTGGTGTCTCTCTCTGGGTTGCTTCATTCAACTGTCCTCATCTCCAACCCCGGGCTCTTTGTTTTCTCTTCCTCCCAGTTCTCCCCTGACACGTGGCAGGGGGAAGGCAGCAGGCGGTGGTTGCTGGGGTTTAGCTGCTGGCTGAGGCCAAACCACGACACCTACTATCTATTTCTGCTTTATCTTTCAACAAATATAGCCAGCTGGGGAGAATATCTGGCTGCCATCCTCTGGGATGCTTTCAACACCCTTTCGCCCAGAAGCAGCACAGAATCTGGCTTTTAACACGGCCTCATCCTGACTGCATCGGGAGTAGAGAGCACCTTGCAGCACTGAACCTTCTGTCTGGCTATTACATTTTCTTTTCATCTCACTAGCTTATTATCCACCACTGTGCCTACTCAGAGGAAATGCTGAGAGAAAAATAATACTGTCATCCCACTTCAGCCGAAGGCAAAGAAAGACTCTTGAGAAGTCCATCTTAAAAAAAAATAAATCATAGGGCCACAGAAAATAGTCAAATTACAGCAGCAGCAATTTGGAAAAAATATGCAAGAGACATGATGACTGCATGTGGCTATCAAAGGGCCACAGAGGCCAAGCAATGGCAGAGTCGCCCTGCCCTGTGCTCTGCTGCCCGTCTCTGTGCAGCAGAAGGTGGTCCATGCTCCACAGGAGGTGGCCCACGCTCCACGGATCAAACAGCCCAGCTGTGGGAGGAGATGGGAGCCCGCTGCTGAAGAATGGAGGCATGGCAAGGTGGAGTCTTCTGCCCACAGCTCTTCTCAAAACTATGGCACAGTATAAATCCAGATGTTTTCACCTTCGTGTCAGCTCCTTAACAACCCTGTTTGGCAAAAGGTTTCACACTGTTACAGCTTCCTGAGTATTCTTCAAGATGTTTTCTATTTTTAAGCAAATTGAGAGTTAATGAGATAAATGAAATCACTGAATGTTACATCACAGTTCTTCAAGAAGCAGACCCAGTTCTTGGGTGCAGTGGCAAAATGTTGGCTGGACCGGGGTGTTTCCTTCTCGTGCCTCCCCCCGCTGGTGGGTGCAGCTGCAGTGCTGAACTGCCAGAGGTGGAACTTGAGCTGTGAAGAATCAGGGGCCTTCCTGGCACCAGAGCACTTCCCACTACTCACGCTGTTGCTGTTTAAATCTACGTGAGTCCCAAAGGAAAAGCCTCTCTCTGGTGCAGCCAAAGAGCTGGGGTCGCTCTCCACTGGCTGCAGCCCAGGGACCTGCTGGCATCACGGATCAGAAGAGCCATTGTGCTGCTTCCCAGCAGCTCGTAATTAATTTCAGTTTTAATTGAAATTAGAATAAGGACAAGGTTGTGACATCGAAGGTGATACAGTCTCTGGTCACAAATTTACCAAGACAATAGAGAAGTTAATAGGGCACATCCCCATTTCAGCTGGGTTTCTCTTCCAGTGTATCAAAAGATGACTAGAGAAAAAAATGTGCTACCACTTTTGAAGTTTGAGCAGGGCCGTGAAAGCACAACTGCACTGGTCTGGGTGCTGCACCGGGGTGCAGGGGTGACCCCTGAGCCTACTGAAACTTGCCAGCTAACACTGAAGCACTGGAGGTGGTCAGGCCCATGCCATCCCCTTGACTCGCCAGCATGGCACACAAAGGCGCCGAGCGTGGGGCGTGGCATTTCACACCTGCACAGCCCAGTGCCCTCTGCCTCAGAGCTAACAGGGGCTTCACATGCTGTCGGGTTTTGTTTGCCGAAACTGACCCCTTCCCAAGCACTGAACTGGCTTTTGTAAGATGTCACCTGTCCCAGAAGCTCTGGTGCCCCACGGACAGTTGCCCTGCACAGGTCACTGCGTTGCTCGGGGTGTTACTTGTTTCTCTTCTCTGCCACAGGAGCTGATACTGCATGAAGCATGTCGAATGCAGAGAAATGCTCAGCAGAGGGACCAGCCACCCCAGGGAAAATTCAATTCATTACAGCCAATCTCACAGCCAGGACATGTCACCCCAAGGAAGGTGATCAGCAAGGTGAGCAGTACTAGTCATCCTGAGCTAGCACAGGCAGTTATTTATGAGAGGTGCCAATACATAGCAGTTAGATGCACCATGAATAAAGTCTCCAGCAGAACCTCACAGCACAGATTTCTTCTGTATTAATGTGGCTGGAAAAAAACAAACAAACAAACAAAAAATAAGAAAAACTGCCAGCAATTGCATTAACAGTTTGGGAACTGCAGCCAGTGTAGCCCAACAGCCACCCACGGGTGCCAGGACAGAGCAGCGTGCCCGCTCCGGTGCACCGCAGGGCACAGCAGCAGAGCCAGAGCCCAAGTGCAAAACCTCCTCTGCAGGATGAGAAATGCAGGCGTGGGGCCAGGGGCCGGACCGTGGCGGGGGCTGAGGACAGCCAGGGGAACATGCTGTGGCACAGAACGACTTGTCCCTTCCCCACATTCCTTCGTGAGACCTCCTTCCTCAAGGAGCTGAGAGAGAAAGACCAGGTTCTGGCCAACGTCTCCTCTTCCCCTTATGCCCCCAGTAACCAGGACTATGGACCTGTTGGAGCAGATCCAGAGGAGGGCCATGAAGATGATCAGTGGGCTGGAACACCTCTACTATGGGGACAAGATGAGAGAGTTGGGGCTGTTCAGCTTGGAGAAGAGGAGGCTCCAGGAAGACCTCATTGTGGCCTTCCAGTGTCTGAAAGGGGCCTTCAAGAAAGGTGGAAAAGGACTTTTTATGGGGGCTTGTAGTGATAGGATGAGGAGTAATGGCTTCAAACTGGAAGAGGGTAGATTTAATTAGAAATTAGGAAGAAGTTCTTCACTATAAGGGTAGTGAGAAACTGGAAGAGGTTGCCCAGGGAGGTTGTAGAGCCCCCAACACTGGATGTGTTCAAGGCCAGGGTCTTTGAGCAACTTGGCTCTAGTGGGAGGTGTCCCTGCCCATGGCAGGGTGGTTGGAACTAGGTGATTTTTAAAGTTCCTTCCAACTCAAACCATTCTATGATACATCCTCCCTGATTGGAGTTCACACCTTTGAGACAGCAATTTATGAGTTATCTGGGTTCTCGTAGATTTTACTTTATTTTCTGTATATTTTTATTTATCTCCATATGCATTTTATTACTAGCACCTAGGTGAAAGCCCATTTGGCAGTTAGCAAGCTGACTCATGCAACAGAAACTATGTCTATGGAACAATCTTTTAATGACTGTCTCTATAATCTTGGCAGCACAGTGACACTGGCCTCCAGTACTGCTCTCAGCAGTGCATTCTCCTTTTCCAGCCAGCCAGCCCCACATGCTGGTGCCCCAGTGCCAGCCGGTAGAGAGGC